CCCCCTTCCCACGCTCCTCACCCCGTCCCTCACCCCGCCCTTCACACCGCGCTCACTTCGTCCCTCACCGCAGCCCCCGTCCGTGTTCTCCAGCAGCACCTTCCACCTTCAGCCCCGCCGCCTCTTCCTCCACCACCTTACTCCTGTTCTTCGTTTCAACCAACACCTCTGTTCCTCTCGTCCTGCTCCCATGTCGCCGTCCTCGCCCTCTGCCTCACCTCTGCCCTTACACGCCCTCCCTCACCGCCAACCCTTGCACGATCCAGGCTCCGCTGCAGCAGCAGTCGCCTGCTCCTGAATATTTGCTCAGCGCCCTCGTGTCGCCTGCTGCTGCTGCTGTGGCGGCAGCGACCTGGCGTAATATATGCCGGCTGCGACGCGGCACGGCGCTGCGTCCCGGCCGCCACAAAGCCCCCGAGTATTTAATCGGCACCCGGGCGAGGGCGAGAGCGAGGTCGGATGTCGCGCACCGGGCGACGCGCCGAGCGGCGAGGCGGCGAGCGGGGGCGTGTAGACAAGACAATCGAAGGGCGCCGCGGAGGAGGCGCTGCCGAATGCGGTCGTGTGCCGCGGAAGCGCCCTCCAGTGGCGCAGCGCAACACATGCAACACTCCCGGAGGAGCTGCCTTCGAAGTTTGTTCCCTGCGTTGATGCGCTCCTTTTCTCGATGCACGCACTCAGCAAAGAGGTGAGGTACGGGACGAATTTTACCATTTTACTCCACTTTTATTAAGAGCAGGCTTTTTCATCATGGAATGGCAAGTTTTTAGATTCACATACTACTGTAAATTTTTTTATGAAAAATTATCCTGGAACATAATTTAGTGTTAATATAGTAGCAGATAAGTATGACCACTGATAATTGTTTACAATAAAAACTAGTTTCAATCAGACGCTCTGATCCAAAAGAACCTCTTTACAAGAAAATATTGAGTTTCTATTAACGTTATCAAAATTCATTTGCGGAATGACGAACTTGTTTCATTTCAAATTTAAAGAAAGTTTGCCTTTCAACGAAAATCTTTGTCATTGAATTAGAAATATAAACACAGTTGGCGTATTGATTTCACATAGATTCGTAATAATTTAATGAGTTTTATACACAAAATTTCTAAAGGTGAGAATATGCTCATTACGCATTGTCTTGCATTTAATTGTGTCAATTAAAATAAATTTGACAGGTGCTCGGCAGGATTGAATTTCTCCGATAATACCTCCTCCAGGTGAGATCTAAACTTGATCTACCGATCAAGACAATTCGAACATTCTGACACAAGCAATCCCGTCATCGGGCGAAGATAGTGAGTCACACCAAGGCGTTAAAAGATAAATCCACGTAGGAGATCTGCTCGAAGATACCTTAGACCTGATTTGGGGGTAGGCTTCAAAGGACATCTGTGTCGAATATATTGATGCGGAACATGGGCAAATGATTGTCACCACTCAAATATCATGTACGAAAATTAAGGACTGAGGAAAATGCAGTGCTGATAAAGTAAAACCATTTATTATACGATTGTGTGATATTCGTCTTATGAATATGCTATTTATATTTTAAACAAGGATATTTATATTCTGTTTCAATCACATGGTAATTATACTTGCTCAAGGGTTAAAATTCTTATAAATACATATTATACCGTTTTTTTCCTAGTAATTGCTGATATTTAAGGAAATGTAGATATTTATTTTTTAATTATATGAAGTAACAAGAGGTAAAGTAGAGTATTTTAACGCCTTTGGAATGAATTCTTTGTAAATGCATTGTGACGTCTTATTAATGATGTACCTCTGTAAGAGTACTATCCTTGTACTTTTCCGACATTCATGAACCGGGTGAATAGGGGATTTTTCCTTTTGAAAACTGAAAGGATAACTGAACTCTTATGATAACTCTCCCGCATATGCTGCGTATGCAAATAGGAGCCTTTGGGACGCTCTTTTCAGTTAGTTTACATATCGCTCTCCGGTGGCAATTTACACAAAAACAAACTCGTTATTACCCGCTGACGGCGGAAAGACTGAAATAACCAGCGGGAATATGTTGTGCTTTCTGTCGGCAGGCGCGTCTCCATAGCAACGGGGCCGTGACGTCACGCTGCCGCGCCAGAGGCAGAGGAGGCGGCGGCGGCGGCGCGACCCGGGGCGCGGCGGGCAGCGTTGAGACGCGCGGGGCGTC